TACAACCAAATATACAATTATAATTGGTTAATTTTGCAGATCATTAAATTTTAATTGGTTTATTTTCATGCCATGCGTAAACAAATAGTAAACAAATACCTACCCTTAAAAAAGAAGATTAGAGATAAACCAAATTCAACTTTCTATTATTTAAAGAAAAGATTAAAGATAAACCCAATTTGTCTATAATAGGTTATTTTAAAAAATATATTCTATCTAAAAGGTAAAAAACCATATCTATACTGTTCTTTATGCCTATATTTGAAAATACATTATGATAAGCTTCTATTGTTCGATATAGAAAGATTCTTATAATTATATATTTACATACATACCCAATTGAGAACCTGCTTGTCTTAACATATTTAAGTATAAAATTTTTTATAAAACCGCAAAAGAAAACAGAAATCAGCAAAACATAGGCTAATTAGAAAAATTGGACCCTAGACAGAGACACCAAATCTATTTTGAATCCCATAATTAATCATTTTTAATTTAAAGTAATTTGGATAAATCGATCAGGAACATGTTACGCTGCAGGAATAGGTTCTGTATTTTCATATTAAATTTTTATCGCACTTATGGCAAATTTTATATGAATTACAACCTTTTTTTTTCTTTGAACCAAAATTAAGTTTTTTCAATAATTATTATAATTACTGTGTTTTGGCTAAAGTGTATGTCTTAACTTTATCTTTAATTACATTGAAGGTTATAATTTGTGAGGTGACTAGTTCTTAAAGAATCTTGAATTAAAGAGAGGTGTCCGTCAATAATATTACACACAAATTATTACTTTATCATTATCATTTTTTTTAACTTGAATTAATTCGAATAAATAAACGAATAGAACAATTCTGAATAGTCAAATTCTTATTGATATGAATGGATTTGGTTGAAATTTATTTGTTTTTTGGCTCGCCTTTTCTTGCATTTTTTTGAATAGTTTGTAGTGGGAACCTTTACTATTTTACTATTTTACTTTTTTTTTTATAATTATGAACAATTCAACTTCGTTGAATATTATGAATCCTTATAAAGAAGTTTTTTATAATGACTCTGACAAAGATTTTAAAATTCTTGATAATGGAGATAACTCCGGAGGTCTTGATGAAACTATATCCACTTTGTTGTCAACATTTAGTACAAATACTACAGACATTGATGCAAATATATGTAATCTTTATCTTGATGAAACAGCAATAGAAGTTGCCAGAGTTTATGCTAATTCAGTATTACAAGAACAAGTTGATGAAAGTAGTATAGATTGGTTAGAATCTGATCTTGATATGGAATCAAATAAAGAATCTTTATGTGAAGTAGATTGTTATCAAGATGACTTGAAAATAAAAATCTGTTCAGAAAATACCAAATAATCATATAATATATATGTTTTAGTAGATTATTCAGATGGGATATTATAACACTGTTCTCAACTTGCATGTAGACCATTAAGAAAACTTGTTGGTATATGGGAATTGGACTTTAAAGTAATAAACAAAACTATTGTGGCATCACAAAATAATAAATTAAATACACTTGGGGGTGTGGCGACATAGTGCAGTTGGCAAGTTGTCACCCCCCAAATGGCAGGTCTAGGGTTCAAATCCCACTGGCGA